TTCATCCAGTTTGGTAGGAAGCTGTGATGAATCACACCGACGCTAGACTGGTGGTCTAGCATCCGTGTGATCTACAGATTAATAAATAGTTTACCAACAAACAGTGACCATCACTAAACTAACTAGGGGTAAGCTTTCGTATAGGGTATTCTTTAGCTGCTGAACCAGGATCCTACCAACTTGCTGAGCACTTGCGATTATCAAACAGATTCTATTTTTCTTCGCAGGTTGCAACAAAAACAATGCGGTTCAAAGTTCCTTAGTTTGTGTGCCTGTTGAGCAGTGTAAGGCACGTCTTGACGCGTACTTTGCGCTGGCGATCACTGAGTTCGTGCGGCGCTTATTTATCAAGCTTTTTTACCTTTCCGATTTATCACAAATGGACCAATTTAATTTGATGCTTACGTCGAAAGCTGTTGCTAATTCAACCGTAGATTGAATATCATCAGCTTCCACTATCGCCTTCGATTTGTCATTCTCAACCAAAGTTTTCGAACGACCATGGTCGTGACCACGGGGTTCCTTTTTTAGGTCGAAATTTCCAGCGGAACGGAAGCGGGCAAACCAATAACAGGTGGTGCGTTCGTTTCGTGTCGCTTGTACGTTGCTGCCACGACGATACTCATATCTCATAATTACTCGAATTTTTAACGTATCATTGATGACGAAAAAGATTCAAATGCGATGAAAATATAACGCTCATTAATAAACAAATGGCTAATTTTGAAAAAAGAATTCCTTATTTTTTTAATAAAATTAAATTTATTTTACAATACTTAGCCAAACAAAAATATTCTCATTTGAAATGGCCAGTATTTCAGAACGGCATTTCCGTACGTAAAGACCCATTATTTGTTTTACTGTTGAGTAGCAACTCGCCTCGGCTTCAACCTATTAATTTGACGTTATTTAGATTAATCATATCATTTATTCAATTAAATTTTCAATTTATCAAAAAAAGTTCTCCAAGGTACTTTTAAATAAAATATAGTCCTGATCACTTCTGACGTTGCCCACTATCTTTTTTTATAGGATAGGGTGACAAACGAGCACACAGTCCACCTGATAGTAAGTGGTTGCTGTGGCCCATAGACGTCTACATCTATCCTCGATTACAAATCAAAATGCAGATGCGTTGTCATCCGTGAGGACTAAGATGGAATGCCTCGTTTCCAGTTAAGAGGGTCTCCGGTTCTCTACACTCACCATACAAAACACAGCAGCATTAAGCTACTATTTTACGCTGGTATTCTGTGAGAGCGTTTTTCTTCCCCGGTCGAGCCGACCCATTCGTGCTACAACTATACGACTGATACAACTGCAGCATGGCTCTACCATGTTTAAAAATCTTTTCATAAAGTTCCATTACAATCGGTTGTGCTATTCCCAAGATCAGATTGGACAATTTTAAAATGGTTATTCATCTTAAAATATTGCATGTAATAAAAAGTATTTATATGTATAGATAAAATGCAGCGTCGTAAAAATTTTAGATGAATTAGGAAATATGCGAAATTCGTTCCAACCCTCGTATAGTTCAAGTCAATTTTTACTGAAACTTAGGCGAATTAATCACGTTTAATTCATTATTTTATACTTATCAGAAATGTAGACTGACTTAAGCGCCAATAAAGTGTTCAGAGCTTAATGAGAACCGGCGCAATTGACGCAGAAATATTTCTTGATTACAAATCTCGTATATTTCGATATCGCTCAGGATCTCGCTATAATCATTTTGACTTTTTATCCGTTGATATGCTATTAAACGAATAGCAATATTGCTTGTTTAATTCATCAAATGCTGTAGACGTTGTATTTTTAAAGTGTGTAATATTTTTTATGTATTACGGCATTTGAGGTTATTGTGAATGTTATTTTAATGGTTTTTATATGTAGTTCGATATTCTCATCACTATGTAATGCAGTCAAGTCCAATTATTTTATATTAAAACAAAATATATATTTAATATCTACATCAAAATAAGTTATAATACAAGTTTTACAAGTTCAAACATTTTAGCTCAACGTACATATCTTTTTTTATGTTCATAATTCTTTCCGACTCACCTGAACGACAGAATAGTTAAATTAGACATAAATAAAATAGAGGCGAAGTTACAATTTATTCATTAATTTATATGCAATTTAGTTAATAATGTTAATGCTCATTGTTTTACTGTTACTTAATATATTTATTAATTTAAATCATCCATTCACTTACATCTTGGGGTTCAATACGTTGCACTCCTTAGGTGTTAGGTTACAATTTACCGAGAAATGCAACATCCAATCTTACGCTCGGCATAACAATGAAAATCATTATTTTGTGACCACCCGCGGTAAATAGTTTAGTTTTAACCGTAAAAGGAGTAAGTAATAAAGCCTTAGACGCTTTGAATTTGTATTTCAATCATCATCATCATCATTACAGCCCTTCACAAGTCCACTGCTGAACAACCTCCCCCAAGGAATACCACAAAGCACGGTCATTGGCCTGAACCACCTGCATCCATCGACATCCTGCATGTCTTACCAGGTCGTCACTCCATCTTGTGGGGGGTCGCCCTACATTACGCCTACCAGTACGAAGCTGCAACTCGAGAACCTTTTTTCCATAATTTTTCTTTATTTGAATAATTTAAACTATATAGGTAATATACGTTTCATCGCGGTCACAAAGCATAAACACAAATTTCAACCTATAAATTACATTGACAAATTACAAGCAATTTTTTTGTACAAGGCGAATATATAAATGCATCGACAATACGTTAAAATATCAAGATATAAACTAATTTTCATGATATTACACGATGTATTCCTGAAATGAATAACTTTAAAGAAATTATATCTATCTGCAATAATCGTATATCTATATAACATACCTCTATATTATATAAGAGTTGAATTCGTATTGCTTAAATTCTTCTAACCTAGTAAACACAGACTAGAGTATCTTATTTGTCGCAATTGATATAATATAAATTAAGATAAGTGATGGGCATAACTTCTAAAAGTAGTTGAGGGACCGCCGCGCTATTTAAATGCGGGTTGACGAAATTCATATGTCCACCAAATGTGTACTTGTTATGTTTTATTTATAAATAAAATATGCGAGTTTCATCATGAAATTTTCTTCACTTACGAACACGTAATAAATTAGGATTTAAGAATGACAATGGCAAATTACAATTTCAATAGCGCCGAACGCCGATTGCGTTTGTTGCTTGCTGAGTCATCATATAACAAAATGGCACTGGCAATATCTTGCCTTTTTTGACGATAACAAGTTTATTTGAAAAAATAAAGTGTTCATTGCAAACTACGTAATATGCCGAAAATTTACACACACTATTCAGGATCACTGAGAAAATTTCCAGTAAAAAGGGTCTCCTGATTTCTACAGTCACCATACGAAAGCACCATTGAGCATTGAGCTGCTACTTACGAAGGTATTCTCTGAGAGCGTGTTTCTTCCCTGGTTGAGCCAACACAACCAATTTAACTATAATATAGGTACTGCGTGATTCTACTACTTACAAAAAGCTAGAACATTAACTGTAATAAAGTAATAATTGATGGAAATTTATTAATAAACTGGCGATCCACCCCGGCTTCGCACGGGTGATTTCTGAATCTGGACAACAGCGCCACCTACAGGGTCCAATTAAGTTTTTTAACCATCCAGAGACCTACACAAATACACACACACACACACACACACACACACACACACACACACACACACACACACACACACACACACACACAAATCATCAAAATCGGTCGAGCCGTTTTTTAGTTTAGCGAGACTAACGGAGAGCTATATTTTTTTATATATAGATTATTATTTTATATATAGATTATTTATTATTTATATATATTGAGATATGCACTAAATTTAGGAAAATTTTAAGAATAGACGTAGTTATGGTTGCATCAAGTCAAGTCAACCTCTGAAAAAAGATTATTTTTATGAGATAGGGTGACAAACGAGCACACAGTCCACCTGATGGTAAGTGGTTGCTGTGGCCCATAGACATCTACATCTATCCTCGATTACGAATCAAAATACAGATGTGTTGTCACCCGTGACAACTAAGGTGTAATGCCTCGTTACCAGTAAAAAGGGTCTCTGGTTCTCTACACTCACCATACAAAACACAGCAGCATTAACTTCTATTTTACGCTAGTATTCTGTGAGAGCGTGGTCCTTCCCCGGTTGAGCCGACCCATTCGTGCTACAACTATACTACTAATATAACTGCAGCATGGCTCTACCACGTATAATGTAATCTCGTTAATGACTATGAATGATATTGAATGGTTAAAAAAGACTAAAAATTTAGCCACCATTAAAGTAACGAAAAACAAAATCAGTTTTCAACTGGTATTTTTAATCAGTTTTAACCTTACATAAGCAACGGAATATGCTTACATAGGTCATTAGAAAATATTAGGTAACATTTTTTCAAACAGTAAAATGAATTAATATTTGCAATGAATATGATATTAAAGTTATTAAACTTGTGCGCAAAAAGCTCAAGGTTGGTGCTCTCCAGTGTGTTTTGATTACAGTGCAAATGAGTCAGCTCGAGGAGAGAAGAATCGTCGTTATCACAGAATATCAGCGTTAAATAGCAGCACAATGATGATTTTTTTAACACAACGAAGGTGACAAACGATAATACAGTCTACGTGCTTCTAAGAGGATACTATGGTCCATAGATACCTACTATTATACTCGATTAAAAATTAAAATGTAGATGCGTTGTCACCCCTAAGGACAAAAAATCCTGGTAACTAGTAAAAAGAGTCTTCGGTCTCCGGCTACATTAAGCTGTTTTTTACGCTGATATTCTATGAAACCGCAGTGAAATCTAAAAGATCGAAATTGTAAACAAAAAAAAACAATTTTTTAAATAAAGAATACCATAATTTATACCAAACCATACTCGTACCTGAAAGTTTGTTGTGTATTTTAATGTTATTTTTTACAGTGGTGCGTTAATCGTGTTTGTGAGTTAATGCCGGGTCATGGTGCTGAGATCAAAAGTCGAGATGACAACAAGGTTCCAAGTACACCGGAATGGGGGGAATGGGGGGAATGGAGCGAGTGCAGTGCCGACTGTGGCTATGGTCTGCGCACTCGTACACGACATTGCAGGTATAAGGGGTAAGTAGTTAACGAAAAAAATAATTATCCTATCATCATTTAAAAATTTAGTTTAACTTAAAGATAAGTATATTGAGTACTTATCTTAATATATAAAATATCTCGTGTCACGATGATCGTTCACGCTAATCTTCGAAAACGCTCAACTGATTTTAATGAAATTTTGTAAATGAGATATACCTAGCGTTTACCGCGATAAGTGATCCTCAATATTTTTTGTTGCGAATTTAAGGATTTTTTACATACATACATACATAAACACTCACGCCTGTCACCCAGAGGGGTAGGCAGAGACTACGGACTTCCATTTGGCACGATCCTGACATACCTCTTTCGCCTCCTTTACATCCATATATCTACGCATACATGCTCGTCGGTTAAGGGTACTTCTAACGTGGCCCCTTTTCATATCGCAATTTGGTGACTTTTTCTAGGGCGTCCCTTCCCGACTCGGCCGTTCACATCTGCCATATAAATTTGCTTTGTCACTCTTTCCTCATTCATTCTTTCTACATGACCAAACCACCGAAGCATTCCTTTCTTAATCCTGGTCACAACATCATCTTGCATATCACATTTAAGGATTTTTTATAGAACAAAAGGTAGTCGAAAATGGCAGAACAACATCTGTATGACCAGCTAGTTGTGATGTAATGTAAATTAGTTGTTTTTAAATAAAGTGCTAACATATATTACAATACGTTGAGAATCTATAATATGTTTTATAATATATATAGGGAACTAATATTATTAATTGTTTTTTATTAAGTAATCTTATTTAACGACATATTATTTAAAAATATAAAAGGCATAAGTACAAAAGGCATACAATTGTTTTTCACAGAATCATATACGCTTGTTCCGTTTTATTACAAGTAAAGAAGGTAGTTTTATAGTGAGAGATTAAAATTCCATATAGTCTATAATTATCAAAAAAAAAATTAACGCTCGATTTTGTTTCAGATCCACATCGGACAGTGCATGCGAAGGCGCTGGTTCTCAAGTGGCAGTATGTTGGAAGGGGTCAGCATGCGCCGCCACGCGGGACATTCGCACGGACGTGTGTGTGCGTCAGGCCAGTCATCTCATACCCCACGTGCACCCAGATGGTACTAATGCAACGCTTCAATACACTTTATTTTTATGAGCCGCCTCAACGATGATTGACGTTTGTCTGATACGAACATGATACTGAAAGAAATAAAAAGCGCACGCGAAAAGAAATTCGAAGAATAAAACGATGAACGCATTATTAGCATTTATGAATTGAATTTAAGAATCATTTTCAATTAATGACAAAAGGTTACTTAAGCATAAAAGAAAGCAACGTTTTATTTGCAATTATCATACTTGAAAGGTAAAGCTATTAGTAACAATTTGTGCCCAATCGTCTAGAAAAACACTCAAAACGTTTGGAATGATTAAATCATGATTATTATTGTTAATATCTTGTAAAATATCTATCATCCATCCGTCCATTATAATCTGTAAAAGTCCACTGTTGAGTATAAGTCTCCCTTGAAGATAGTCTCATGGGGACAAAGTCTTTTAATATTTGAAGTTGTTATCACGAAGATGGTGCTACCCATCTCCTGGCTCAGTCTCCCTCTGTCGCCTCTTACGACACCCACGGGATGTTTTTACACTACCGCTACACGACTTAGCTTCTGAAGTAAAAAACGTGGAAATACAAATCTCATGGTGCATAAATAAGTAATATTCATTCTGTAAATATTAGGAACAGACACAAGGTAGTGGTACCAGTTACTCAACTCCAACGAGTCAGTAATTCATTCTTGGGGCGACGTATTATTTTATATACGACAAAATCCCGGAAAATATACATAATTTGACTTACACAAAGTTCAAAAACTTTTTTAAACTAAGTTTGTATAAAAAGGGTTATTATGATATTAAGGAATTTATGGATGATAATAATTAATAACCCCTGATAAGGGTGATCGCTACCAAGCAATTTCTAATTTGTTATTAATTTAACTATTTACATACATGATTGGCTCTTTTTTTTTTAAATAGTTCCGCTGGATTTCTTGCTGGTTCTTACCAGGACAGAGTTTTTTTTGCGAACCAGTGGTAATGCAAAAAAGTGACTTTCAATAATGATACTTTTTTATTCAATATGGTTTATAATCCATATTGAATAAAAAGTTTCTGTTTCTGTTTCTGCTTCAAGGTCATTGAAGTAATATGTACTTACGTACTAGAACAGCTATCTCAAACAAAAAAGGTGCGCTACTCTGTGTTTGCGCGGTTGTTTTTTTATCATAGAATAAACATAGGTAGAATAACCCGTAGGTAATAGTAGATTGTATTGTTAAATTGTTAAATTATATCGAGAACAATATTTAAATTTTGTCATTTATTTTGTATATTATATTTGCTTATTTAATATAATTTTATATGAATATTTTAAAAGGTATCTAAGTTAAATATAAAAAAAACATACTAAATGTATGTTTAACAAAACTTATTAACATAACATTTAAATAACAAATATATTTATTCAAATTAGAATAATAGTCGTTCATAAATGCTGAGCACGCGAGAGTTAAAAATGGACGAATTTATTCCACTTTGACTTTGATGTGGAAACCTAAAAATAAAATTAAAGAATAATAAGCAGATTTAAACATGAAAAATTTAGCCAAATAATAACAACTTAAATATGTTTCTACAAGAAAAATGTGTATAATAATACATTCGTCCTATACTTAAGTACCCACAGAAATGTCGCATCTGAACATATTAATTTCATAATCTATATTCCATGAAACGAGATGGCATCTTAGGAATAATTTGTTTTATTATTAGTACATAATACGTTTTTATTGATTAACTGATGAAAAGTTATTCCTTGGTTTTTACTGACATTTCTTGAATTGTTTGTGCAATATCTATGTACACACGACGGCATATTTTTATCAAGAGATTTTTTTTAAATCAACACAACACGTGACAACTCTACAAGCGCCTAGCGAGTGACCGATTAAAGTGCGGTGTATGCACCGCCGTTGAGTGGAACACAGTAGCTGAATGCAGTGTCGTCTCTAGTACGTGGTACATAATATCTCAATGTTCCAGGTAAAATTAAAATATTGTGAGGCAAAAGCCACTTCTGTAGGAACTAATTAATCACTACCGTGTTGTTTCCTTTCACCAATATTCCTTACCATACACTTTTAACATAAGTGCAAAGTTTTCACTTCGAGACTATAATATTAAATCAAGTTATGATAAGTTCAAATTTATAATAATTTCTTAATTGCTATTTATTTTATAAGAGTCAAAAAACTGCGAAACATGGTGCGTTGACTACGCGGGTGGCAATCCTTCTAAGTTCGGTGTCCTTCCTGACGGCTCACCTTGCAGTTATCAAAGGCCTTTTGACCTTTGTTCACAGGTAATTTGAATAAAGGCTTAGAATAATTAAAAAGTTATTTATTTGGAGAGTAAAAGTTGCGATAAACAACTTTTTTGTATCGCTCTTGTCTGTGATATTTAAGTATCAAGTAAATAACTTTACGTTATTCTTTAAATTATCAAAGATATAACAATGATAACTACAATAATTTTAGTATATGTCTGTATTATAATGATTTCTTAAATTTACGCGAACACTACACATTGAATAAAACTAAATTTACGGATTCTATCGCGTTTAATTAATTACTTTTACTTATTTTTAATTCCCGACGATTTGCAAGTCTTTCAAGCCAAGGATGCCGCTGCAAGTCTTCAAGATACTGTAAGCTCGTTTTGCGTAGGTAAATCGGACCAATAATTAATATTCAAAAACTGAAAGTAGCCGGGCTAACAATGACATTGGGGCGTCAAACATCTCAGCCCCCCCGTGACGTCGGGAATTAACCTGTATGCTCGTATGACGACTTTATTCGAAACGCCTGTTGGCTCGCGACGTAAAATGGCGGGAATTGCAAATTTTTTGCTAACTTGCAAATTTTAGTTTTTTGTTGCTATTATTTTTAGTTGCTAGAAATTGTAATAAAATTCATAAATTACCCTTTATAACATAGTAGTAGTAGATACTTGACTTTTAGTTAATTTTAGTACATTTGAATTCTACATGTTTGTTTTTGGAGAAATCTATATGAAAATGTTTGTAAATATGTAGTATTTTTATGTTTTGTGTGTTTCTATTCGTTACTCATACCAAAATATAAAAATAAAAAAATAATAAAAAAGGAAATTAATTTTTATCTGTATGAGATTTCCGAATAATATTTCAAATATATTTTTGTGTGAATTTGAAATAAATACAACGTCAACTTATTTAAAATATGTTATAAAACTATTTTTTAGTTACATTTGACACTAAAAATAAATGAAAATTGGAAAAATAACACATTTTTGACCCAACATCAAAAATGGGCCTTCTCGATTTCGAAGTACTTTTGGCACTTACTTTTTAATTTTTATGCCACAAATTATATATGTACGTGTTTGTTTTATTACAAGGAATACACAAAAGTATAAAACTCACCTTTTTATTTCAAAAACACACGGAAAAATGGAGAAATCACTCAGAAATAGCTCACGCACTACCACGCACTACTATTGTAAAAAGCTATTTCTCTAGTATATATACAGTAATCTACGAAGCCATTACGTCAGAATGATTTTTATACATACATATACATAACATACATAAACACTCACGCCTGTCACCCAGAGGGGTAGGCAGAGACTACAGACTTCCATTTGGCACGATCCTGACACACCTCTCTCGCCTCCTTCACATCCATACACCTACGCATACATGCTCGTCGGTTAAGGGTACTCCTAATTAGGCCCGTTTTCAATAAATCGCAATTTGGTCGATAAATTTTCGCCTAGGACGTCCCTTTTCGACTCTGCCATTCACTTCTGCACCATAAATTTTCTTTGTCACTCTTTTCTCATTCATTCTTTCCACATGACCAAACCACCGAAGCATTCTTTTCTTAATTCTGGTCACAACATCATCTTGCAAACCACACTCTTCTCTTATTACACAATTTCTTACCCTGTCGTTCAGATTCATCCCTAAAATACTTCTTAACGACCGCATTTCTACTGCGTTGATTCTGCTCTCGTGTTTCTTCTGCCACACCCAACTTTCACTACCATACGTTAAAGTAAGGACCAACACAGCATTGTGAATTTGAATAAATTTTATGTCTATTTTTAGTTTGAAATTGACAGATTATGGTACCAAATTAAAGAGTATGTCTTTGTCTATGTCTGTATTATACATTTCAGTATAAATTTGTTATAATTTTTAATGACAAACCTTTTTTTGTCGGGTTCGCCCTCATAAATTATGAGTGGTACTTAAAAATAAGTAAAAGTAATTAATTAAACGCGATAGAATCCGTAAATTTAATTTTATTCAATATGTATGTATTTTTTTAAATTATTGCGAAATTCGAAAGATTTAAATGTACCATAAACAATTTATTTTAGGGAGTGTGTGTTAAAGGGCAATGTAACACCACCGATCCAGCTTGCAACTGGTGTCCGGACGGATACTGTAATAATAACACACATTTGTATACAAGAAAACTCGGAAAAGGTAAGCAACAAACAATTCCTTAGTACATTTTTAACTACGATAAAAAAGTATTATTGTGTTTTTTTTTAAATATTTTTATTATATTTTTATGTTTTATAATTCCACAAAACCTTTTCGTTAATAATTTTTCTTTATTCTATTTTTCAAAAGGTTGGACACGTTTAACAGTTATACCACATGAAGCTCGTCTCATGTCTGTACACATTTCGACGCCAGTTGCGCTCAATATTGCTATTCGAGAGCGTAAAAAGAACAGACCGATCCTCGAACTAACGAAACATCATTCGAAACACTTTGAATTGGACAACAAACAGGACAAATATTTAAAATACGACCCGAACGTACCACAAAATTTGCAAATAATAGAAGTAGATAGTAATATAATTAATATTAAAGAAGGCGAGCGCTATGGTTGGGAAGGGGAAGTGGTGGCTGCGGGAAGTCAAGTGCGGTGGAAACAGACAGACACAGATGTGTTCATAACATCACCATCTCGTCTGCAGACCGACTTAATGATTATGGTAAGTGAAATTGATAAGAAGAGTTTAATTTAGCCGTTAGTTGTATTTTTGTAATAATTTGTTACCTTATTTGGTAAAATCCGATAGCAGTTGGAACCTGTTCATATATGAGAAAAAGGCAAAAGAAAAGTAGATTTTGGAAAATTCAAAAGTGCACACCTCCATCTTGCGTATTATTATATAATAAACATAGAAAAAGGGTAACATTTTATATTCTAATATTGAAAATCTTATTTAGATGTCTTATTAAATTCCTTTATTCTCATAATTTGCAAATAAATTAAGGGTCGATTTTTCAATTGTCAGATAAAAGTTATCCATTAAATAAATTATAACCTGGCGAAATATAAAAGTGAAAAATTTTAACTATTTTATTTATAAAACCGTTATTCTCAATTTGTTAGTGTTGTATGTATTTTATCCTACGAATAAATTTTATCTTATAATTGAATAAATAAAAAATAAAAATAAAATTTTGATTTACGGCTAACGTAAATCAAAATTTTATTTTTCGAGAGTCATTACGACTTCTTTCACACGCGATATTGATGCCTTCCCGTCGCCGGAAAAGGCAAATTTCCGAAAAGACTTTAGTAGAATAGACTTTTACTTACAGCATTGAATTACTTACAGCATTCTTCAAATTGTACAAAAAAATAAACCGAATAATATTAACTGCCGTAATGTCTTGCGTATTAGAATTATTAAAACAAGGATCTTTATTAATTTGCTATAATAAACAAATATTGCAACATGCAAAACAATTGTTAAATCCTTATATATATATATATATATATATATATATATATATATATATATATATATATATATATATATATATATATATATATATATATATATATATATATTACCTCACCGGCACGGAAACTTGGCCAAGCGGTTATCTCGCGATAGCAAAATTTTGAATGTTTGTTATGCAAGTATGTCAAAAAATGTTTACCCTCAAGTTCAAGAGGGTAATTCATTATGTTTAAGTGCACCATGACGAATTCTTTAATTTTTAGTTGAATCGGGTCATTTGAGCGACTAAGTTCACATTTTAAATTTGTGTGTTGTGAAAAGTTTACTGTAAGGTTATTCAATTATTGTGATCTTGTGTCTTAATTAAATAACTAAAGGTGCTTTAAAGCCAATAAAAATGCCATTAATTGTGCTGGTGCACAAGTTGCACAAGCAGTAGCATTAATTGACCAAGGGCTGACACAGCGTGAAGTTGCTATTGTGCTTAACGTACCACGGTCCTCAATGCAGTATTCACTGAAACGATACCAGGAGATAGGCCGCTACACCCGCAGGCCAGGCAGTGGGGGCGTAAGGTGCACATCGGCCCGGGACGATCGTTTTATTGTTATGGAGATTTTGAGAAACCGCTACCTGACCGCTGTTGAGATACGCCAGCGGCTCCAAATCGCAAGAGGCGTTAATGTTAGTGAGCATACGGTGAGAAGACGAATGGAGGAAGTGAATTTAAAAGCTCGTAGACCAGCACGAGGTCCAGAACTTCTCAGACAGCACCGAGTAGCCCGACTTCAGTTCGCAAGAGAACATGTCAATTGGACCCACGAGCAATGGGCTAGAGTGTTGTTCACAGATGAGTGTCGAATAGCTTTACGTGCTCCAGACGGTCGAGAACGAGTGTGGAGAAAAAGAGGAGAGAGGTTTCTACCCATTACCACTACCCAAACTGTGAGTTTCCATGGAGGCTCAATAATGGTATGGGGAGGTGTAAGTTCCGACGCACGTACAGAGTTGGTCATCGTCGATAATCGGCTTACAGCTACTCGATACATCGAGGAAGTTCTTCAGGAGCACGTAATGCCTTATTCGGGATTCATTGGACACGACCAATTCCTCCTCATGCACGATAATGCACGCCCGCACGTCGCACATTGGGTAGAGGAATATCTGGAAGAGGTTGGAATACAAAAATTACAGTGGCCAGCTCGTAGCCCGGACTTAAATCCTATTGAGCATGTATGGGGTATGCTCAAAAGAAAGATAAAGTCCAGCTCCAAACCGCCACAAACTCTAAATGAGCTCCGAAATGCAGCGCTGGCCGCTTGGGACAGCATACCGCAAGTTGATGTCAGAAACATCATTCAAAGCATACCAGATCGAATGCAAGCGGTTATCAGGGCTAGAGGAGGAAACACCCGATATTAAAACTGATAGACAATAAAGAAACAGACTTAATTTTTAACTTTGTAGTGTTTTTAAAGTGACAATGGAAAGATGTTAATTTTAGTGAAAACATGTTATCTTGAAAAGAAAAATTTCGGTGAAGTAAACATTAAATTTCTATGTTCTAAAACCATTAGAGACACTTATTGAATGCATCTACCCTTAATTTACTGTTAAAAAAACGTTTCAGTGCAAATAATCAGCAAATTCACGAGTGGCCAAGTTTCCGTACCGGTGAGTATATATATATATATATATATATATAAGGATGTGTGAAGTGCGTGAAGGAAAAAATTTGGAAATAAAAGATTTTAAGAGGTACATTCTCAAATTTAATAGCTTAAATTTCCCTGAAAAATAATTCGCCGTACTTCGACAAAGGATCTAACTACTAAATGCTTAACGAAGCGAAACAGTTGATGACAAGGGTAAGGAGGTTTAATTATTCAGTAGCGCTTTCAACTTGGGTACTAAAGTTTGTTAGGGATTCACTGTTATGTATTTAATGTGATAGAGGATAAATGGCGTTGTTTTGCTGGACGTATTGTTAGAGTTTCAAAAAGTTTTAGTTTTTAAAATATTTTATTTGAATAAATCAACAGTAGATTTTAACGTGGATAACCATGCTGCAAAAATATTAAGGTGCAGTTTGAATTTGTGTATGCTTTTGGTGAGTAATTTACTAAAACGAGCATTAATTTAGCCCTCATGGGCGATGTTAATGATCAACAAAATTATTCTGTAAAGAAAGCACAAGAAAATAATCGCAACTTGAGAGATTATAGATTGAAATATTTTTTTTTTATTTTATAAGGCAAAATCAAAATCAAAATTTAATAAGGCAAAACCTTTTTAATATTCGTTACCTCCACACTTTTAATATTCCTGCTGTAAAATAACTTATTTTCATTACAACAGCCTATCATAAGTCCCAAGACCAAAACACAGACACACACAGACCATCCGAATTGATTCTTACGTGGGGGGGGGGGATATTTACCATAGTTAAAACGCTTGGCTGGCGGGTTAGTTTTTTTTTAATTACTATTATGTTATTATGAAAAAGTAATACCGTCACTTCTCACGACTAGTAGCCCACTTACACTACTGTAACCGGAGTTCGCGCCGCACCGATTTCGAAGAATGTGCCGGACTTATTTTCATCATTATTTTTTTTAATTTACAGTGATATTTTTTAATTATACAGGCTATCCCCGAAAGTCAAGTTGTTACCGATGAGGTACTAACTGTAGAAGTATCGGTAAACTACAGTACACCGGCAGAGCGCTCGCGTCCGATGGAATACAGGTATTCCAATAGAACTGTTTTTATTACAACTGGATACGTCCCACTACTGAGCACAGAACTGCTTAGGTTATGCCCGCACTGCCACATGGATACGGCTTTACTGCGTGTCTGCATTCTTCACACGTGTCTAAAAAAAATGTTATTTCTAAGACATGCAGATTTCCTCACATTAATTTCCTTTACCGCCAAGATCGTGGAAGATCAGCACTGAAATCGCAATTAACAATCGTTATATCGTTGCAATTGTGTTATAGCTGTAAACATTTTTACATAATAAATGTTCACATTTCGTTCTTGTTTCGATCTTGATATTTATTGAATCTTGTAAATTATTTAATGAACATAACATAATTTTTTTGATTTTAAAACCAGTAAATTTGTCTCCTTCCAACTTTTTACTTCTTGAATGGTAAAGAGATATAAATAAACGCAAGTTGTTGCGGAAGCGCAAGATCGCGGTGAAATCGCTATCACTCAACGACATTTTCAGTTTTACACCGCACGACACTGTACATCATGATATCCTTAGCAATTTGAGAATAATAATTGACACATCATGTGGGCTATATGAACTTTTAAATATAAGTTCACTAGCGACCCGCCCCGCCTTCGCCAAAATGGGATCTATTGTTTGTGTTACGTGGCTTCATTTCGATTTCATGAAATAATTATCAAAGACTATTTATTTCCTGTTATTATAGTTACTAATTTTTCTACTTAAAAAAATTCAGAGATTTTTGTATAAAATATACCTTATGTCACTCCTGATAATGCTATTTATTTATTCGTGAAGTTTCATAAGAATCGTTTCAGTCAATCCAAAGCACGGACAGACAGACAGGCATTGGCAGGCATGCAAATATTTGCCTGGATAGGATCTATCAATTAAAATTTTAATATTATATTATAGATTTTCTTATTTTTTACAAAAACCTCTAATTTTTTCAAATAAAATGTATCGTATAGCACCCTGGCATTGCTCTCTACCTGTGTGTGAAGTTTCATTGCAATCGGTCCAGACATTTCATAACCCATGGAGATTAGAGAGAAGGAGAACGATCGCTACGTGCTTAAGCGTTAGCCCGTCTGCCCTTGGAAATTTGTAGAATTTATAGCCGTGCTGCCGTTAGTAAGTAGTATATGCGAAGTTAGCTGTTTATGGGTACAAGTAGATGAAGTTAGATGAATAATGTACAAATTTTATTCGTGGCATTGGTTAGAAAATAATCGTGCTCAACATTAAAAAATAGTGAAACATTGTATTGTGCGTGGATGTGCAAGTGGTTTAGCATCAGATTGGAAAAATAGACTGAAAAACAATTTGCGTCAATCATCGTTATTTAAAGTACCAAAGGTACTTACGGTCTTTATACGTTATCGATTCATAGCTGCACATTGAAATATTGAATATGTAAAACTATTATTTGCTTAATTAATCATGTTTTTCTTACTAAATTAACCTATATAAAACTTTTAAGAAATTGTTGAAATTAAGGTTAAATACAAGATTTGCAAGTAAATTCTCAAAATTCTCAAAATTTATAAAAATTTATAATATTTATACTAATTAAAATTATAAAAAAACATAATTTATTAAGTAATAAATAATAACAATAACAAATAATAATAATTTCGTTATTTTCTTTTTTTCTTTGAATGATATTATATACACGTATATTAAACGTTGATAGATCATTTCAAACTAGCGCACAACAGCCCGCTTTTATTAAGACAACTTAGCGATCCTTAATTATTTTGTCCATAATATTTCTGGGACACTATTTTCTACAGCGATCGTTCTCCTCCTCTCTAACCTCCGTGGATTAGCCCAAAAAGACGGACAGACAGACGAAAAATTTAAAAATGACTATTTATGTCTTAATAGCTCGCAAATAACACCCAGACTATTTCGAATTATTATTATTTATTAGATTATTCAGAAAAACAGAATTATTTCGATATAACAGACAGATATTTCAATTTTATTTACATGTATAGTAGATAATACGAATATATTAAAAATTATACTACCGCGTTTTTACCAGCATCTTGTAAAATATATTTGCTCAAACAAATTGGCATACTGCCATACCAATGATCGCCCAATCTCAAACCATGTGGTACTCTTACGAACGTTAACAGCAAACACGAGTATATAAATAGATTCAAAATTTTGCAGTAAAGGAAATACTAAATACCAATACGACGAAAACCTTTTCGTCTGGTATACCACAGTATCGTAAAAATATGGTACCTCCCCATCAGTGTCTTAAGAATAATGCGTGCCTGTGATGATTTACGGACCCGAAACATGGTTCTTCGTTACAAGCGGTATTGGTAAGGTCATATTTATTCAGCGAGCTATGGAGAGGCTACCAACTATCCACGGTAAAAATGTGTAGCTATCACTGCTTGACGAATCAGTTAGGTAGGGATAGGTGATATGAAATCTTGTTGTTAAAACGACCCGTAATCGATGAGGAACAAATGTTCTCATGTAGACGGTCACAGTATTGTAGTGACAGTCTTCTACATGCAAGTGTAGACAAAGGTGACGCCTGTATTAAGACTGCACACGAATGGGTCCGTGAATCCTTGGCTATATCAACATAATGCCGCTGTGTTTTGTTTAGTAAGTAATAAGAACTTGTGACCCTTTTCACTGGCAACTATTCCAGTTTAATCCCCAGGGTTTTCTACATTTTGCTTCCTAATTGACAGTGAGTAGATGTAACTGTTCATAAGACACAGTGTTTACTTATTCTGTAAATTATTTGCTCACTAGTCACTCTCACTTGAATAAATAAGAGGCAACTGACGGCGTTTTGTCACTTTTGTGAAGTCTATCTTCCAAACTAGATTCGTCATAATCTCATCGTAACATCTTATCAAAAGTCTACTTTTTTATAGAATTTTTTTCACTTTAGGTTGGGAGCCGCAAACGAGCATGCGGCTCACCTAATGTTAAGTGACTACCGCCGCCCATGATCAACTGCAACACCAGGTGAATTTCAGGTGCGTTGCCGGCCCTTTAGAAAGGAGTAAGCTCTTTTCTTGAAGGTCCCCAGGTCGTATCGGTCCGGAAAAATCGCCGGTGGTAAACTATTCCACAGAGAGGTTGTACGCGGAAGAAAACTCCTCTTGAAACGTACAGTGGTGGACCGTCAAGCATCCAGATGGTGTGGATGGTATCGGGACGTTTGCCGCGTAGTGCGTTCACGAAATTTGGCGGCTGGGATTAATCCGAACAATTCCTCAGAGCACTCTCCATGGTATATGCGAAAGAAAATGCAAAGAGATGCAACATTTCTTCGCAGTGCCAGTGAATCGAGCCGATCGGAAAGCACGCGGTCGTCGACGATTCGAGCCGCTCTGCGCTGGATGCGGTCAAGTGGAAGGAGCTGGTACTGGGGAGCCCCGGCCCAGAGATGGGAACAGTATTCCATGTGCGGCCGAACCTGCGCCTTGTAAAGTTGCAGGCGGTGTGCCGGCATGAAATACTGTCCCGCTCTGCTGAGCACGCCAAGCTTTTTAGAAGCCAATTTGGCCTTCTCTTCCAAGTGACCACGAAACTGCACGTCACTCGATATGTCGACGCCGAGGATTCCGATACTGACTGAGGCAAGGGTAGTGCCTTATGGGAGGGGTGTCTTCTGGGGGTTAATCTGGACTAGATTTAGTCGCCCCCAATCCGAGACTCTGTTCAGCAAAGACTCAACTTCAGACACAAGTTTGTCTCGGCACTCGGAGACGTTTTCCCGAGAAATATTGGCTCGGCCGGTGCAAAGAGCATCACCAGTGCTGTCATCTGCATAGCAATGAATGTTACGGGTTTGCAACGTATCATTGATATGCAGGAGAAACAGCGTTGGCGATAGCACGCAGCCTTGTGGAACACCAGCAGTAATAGGCTTGCAATCGGAGCTTGCACCGTCTACAACGACCTTGATGCCCCCATCTGCAAGAAAGCTGGTGATCCAATCGCACAATTTCTCGGGAAGCCCATAGGAAGGGAGCTTTCGAAAGAAGCGCTTTGTGCCAAACCCGATTGACTTCGCAATTCTTCCTTGTACTCTACTGCCTCCGCCCATCTGTCAGTTAGGTAGACCAGAAGATCACCAGCTGACCGACCACGGCAAAAACCGTATTAGCGGTCACTAATCAGCTGGTGATCCTCAAGGTGTCTCATGAGCTGACAGTTTACAATGGACTCCATTGTTTTGGAGAACAAGGAGGTGATGGCGATAGGCCGGTAGTTGGACGGGTCTGAGCGGTCGCCTTTTTTAGGGATCGGGTGGACGAAAGCCGTCTTCCATGATTTTGGGACTACGCCTAGGGAGTAGGAGTACCGGAAAAGACCCGTTAAAACCGGTGCCAACTCTGGAGCACACGTCCTCAGCACAATTGGGGGGATTCCGTCAGGCCCACTCGACTTGTGGATGTCCAGGGATAGGAGTGCTTTGCGAACCGAGCGCTGTGTGAACTGTGCTTCCAGCATGGAGCACTCACACTGCGGGATTGTCGGCGGTGTACTCCCCCCGTCATCGAGAGTCGAGTGTCCAACTCGACTCTCGAGTTCGATGACGGGAAAGAAAGAGCCTAGAAGATCGGCTTTCTCCTTTGCGGTATGGGCCAGTGAGTCGTCCTCCCTGTACAGAGATGGAAGAGATTCAAATTCCTTGACAGTTTGGCACGGTTCCAAGAAGGCGAACTAGTTTCTCGCCAATTCTGCCTATGTGCTCTGACTTTGCCTTGGCAATGACTCTTTTGAAGGACCTAGAGGCGGAATTATACTTCTTTTTTAGAGCCCTGGTGTTTACATCCCGGTACGCTGATGCGTGAGCCCAGGCTTGGTAGCACTCCTGCTTATAGCATGATGCTATTTTACAGGAGCGATCAAACCATGGCTGAGATTTGCCTCCAATGGGCACCACAGAGGAAGGAATAAAAAGTTCCATACCCTGAAGTACCACATAAGCGACAGAATCTGCAACAACGTTGGGATCGTCCGGCAAGAAACAAACCCGCACCCACAAGTGTAAGATGCAAAGAAAGACCGCATCCCATCCCAATCCGCAGACCTATAGTGCTAAACACGGCGGCAGCCTGCAGAATGCAACTGCGATTTCAGCGTGAGTGGCACCACACTTCGGACAAGACAATGGTCCGAGGAGCCTAAAGGGGCGTCGACAGAAATCTGATATCCGTCAGGGTGAGAGGTCAGCAGAAGGTCCAACAGGGAAGGTGCATGTTCCTCCACATCTGGAATCCGCGTAGGCGAAGTAACCAGTTGTGTCAGACCATATACCAAGGCAAAATCATGAACAGATCTCCCCGCATGATCGGTTAAACGTGAACCAAGCCATTCGGCGTGATGGTTGTTAAAGTCGCCGAGGATCACGATCTCTGCGGAGGGGATCTGCTGTAGCAACGAATCTGTAGCCATTTGGACGTGGTCGAAGAGTCGGTCTGTTTCGGCATTACCGCTATGGGACCTATAGAGGCACCCGTAGACACGCGGATGGTCGTCGCTGTCTACGCGTAGCCAAAGGGTGGACAGGTCCGAACCTTCAAGTCTGCCGAGGCGTCGAGAACAGATGTCCTCTCTAACGTAAACGCAAACTCCAGCCCGAGGCACAAAGGAGTGTTCCAGTTTGTACCCCGGATAGGAGAGATACGAGACATCAGTCGGAGATGACACCTGCGTCTCGGTCAGAAAGAGCAGAGCCGGCCTCGCCGTCTCGAGATGGTAGTGGACGGCGTTTAGGTTAGAGTGAAGTCCCCTGATATTGCAGAAATTCACGGACAGCGTGGCAGGGGTCGCCTTGGTCTTGTTGCTCCGTTTGCCCCGAGCAGTTGTAGTCTTGAGCGGAATTTTGCCCCCCCCCCCCCCGCCGCAGAATACGCGGGGCAGCATGAGCACCCACGCTCAGAAGTGGAGAAACATGGTCGTGGATGCTCAGCGAGGGATTCTCCAGTGGTCTGTCGGAGCTGGTACCCTCCTGGGGTAGTCTATCATCATTTAATTCCGCTACCATGTTGATGGTGGGGGATTTGGGCCTCCGGCCACCTGCACTCACCAGACGAAACGCGGAAGCAGAGCTTCCACTTCACGCCGGTATTCTGTGAGGTCGTGGTACCACCCCGGTTTGAGCCAGCCCATACGTGCAACAGCAAAGCTGCCGCGTGGCTCTACCACTGTAAAACTACTGAATATTTTTTGAAATTACTGCTGAATATTGACCCTACCTGATTGTCTCTAATTACCACACTTGATAGGAGTATTTTTTTTAATTAGTTTGAGTTGTCATCAGGAAGATGTTGCTACCCCTCTCCTAAACCATTTCTATTTATTGCCTCTTATGACACCATGGGATATGGGATAGTGAATTCTTTAACGCTGCTACAATGCAGTGAGTATGATGGTGAAATCTTTTTTATTCAACTCAATTTTAAATAAAGATGGTCAACGGAGCGAGGTCCGTGTTCGGCATCATGCGGCGGCGGAGTGCGTGCCGTCAGGCAGCGATGTCCTCGGGATCAACACTGTGCACCCACGCGATATGAACGTTGCAACTCTCACAGGTAAAGCCTCTTTTTTATATATAGAAATATGGTGATAAACGAACACACAGCCCGCCTGACGGTAAGTTAATTCTGTGGTCCATAGAGCGTTATCAACCGTGAGGACTAAGATGTAATGCATCGCTTCCAGTAAAAAGGATCTCCCCTTCTTTTCACTCATCATACCAAACACAGAAGCGATTAGCGAGACATCAGTCGGAGACACTTTTTTTTATTTACGCTGGTATTCTCCGGTCGAGCCGACTCATTCGTTCAACAACTATACCACTAATATAGCTGCTGCATGGCTCTACTACGTATGAAGCTTAATTGAACTGTCACAAAATTTATTTTGTGGAGTGAAATATAGTAATTCGTATTATATTGTATAAAAGTTGTATTTTTATGTACTACCGCTATGTAAAGTCGACGGTTGGTATATATCATAATTTTTTTATGCATCACATACTACCAAATTCCGTTATTGGAAATAGGCTTACTGCGTGCATTGCCTCATTAGGGGAAATTTTTTAACCATCTTTTTTTTTTATTTATTTTCTCCCATTTATACAATAAACGTTTTTAACATTTTCTTCTGCCAAACTGCATTACAGTTTGTCGGTAGTAAATATCATAAATTAGTACTTGACTGTTATCCTATATTTTGCGTGAGGTTTGGCAACCGCAGATTTTTATTATTTTGAGATATATCAAAAAGCTTGTACTCCCCATCTCTTATTTCAGTTGCCCTCTGTCGCCTTTTATTACACCTACAGTCGTCTTTTATTACCACTACTTTATTTTATAGTTATAGATAAAGGTTCAATACCACAGCTTAAATTTGAAGATTATACATTTATTTTAAATCAAATTAAAAGCAGCTTCGGCAGTTATTTATGTAGGTACCTACTAAATTACATGTGTATTAATTACATTGTTACTTTCTTTTTAAAATTAATGGATGTCCTTGAAAAATATATTGACATTAGAATGAAATTAACGTGGACATGGGTAACTCAGCGAAATTTCTTGCATTGATTCAGTAACTAAGGCGCCGGCTCATTGTGTTAACTAAGCCATCAAAATAACCGAGCAGCCAATAAGTAAAATAAAATGTATAAAATAAAGATTACATAAGTGTGTACTATGTATCATTCCTTTTACATTTCACGGATGATATGGTACTTAGGGGATTCTTGTACGCTGCCACTATACAGCAAAATATATAAGATATAATCAGCGCCAATATTTCTTGTTCAAGAATAGTCCACGTTATTTGCGCTAACAACAAAATAAATGGATCAAATAATAGCTATCATTTGTCGCTAAATCTATTTAGTAGGAGACTTAACTAATAACCTTGGTAATGGTCATCCATTAGTATTTACGACTTGCTTTTCTGAAATTGGGGGAACAAATTTTAAAACTTATTCAGTAACTAAGCGTTCACATTTTAAAAGTTCTTAGTTAAATAATATAATATTGAAGATTAAGAAAAATTTACATATTTTATATTGTATCCAGTATTTGAACAAATTAATCGAAGCAAATGGTCCTAGAAATAAACTTAGTTAAGATCTTCTAAAATACTCAGGGGCTTGGGCGCTCACTCAAATTTATAAAACAAAAATAAGACGAGTTATATTACAGTAAAAAGACCATAGCTAAATGAAAGCCTCTTAGGTGGGGAGAATTTTTCATAGCCATTTTGTATATATTTGTATGTGGAACGAACAGATTATAGTATTTAACATGGTAGCACAAATAGGTCGCCTTGACTGGGGAATGATGTCCTTCCTCACATTTCTAGTATTCTGTTAACCAGTTTGAAATAGCAGCATAATGCTGCTTTAATTTGTATGGTGAGAACACAACCGGTGAAACTCCTGCTAACGAACGTTATTAGGAGTCTTTAGGAATCATCGCAACGTATTTTCATTTTAGTTCTTATCCGAATATATATGTTTAAGTGTTAATCATCATCCACGTCCTATCAGGTGGACTATGTGCAAGTCTGCCACCCCTTGTTTTATTAAAAGAAAATATAATAAAGTTTAGTTCTTTCTTTTGTATATTTTGTGTTTTCAGAAGATTATTATGCTGTAAATATGTACAAAAAAAACAATACGGAAGATACTGACCTGTCAGAGTCCTGTTAGATAGGTGTCAAATTTCTCTTGATATATATAAACTGTAACCCTTAAGCGAAAAATAAATTTTGGCAGGTAAAGTTCAGTGTACTAAACCTTGGACGCAGGTGTTTATGTCGTATAATATACTTTAGTGGGGTCCTGCTGGATATAGACATTTTTATTTGTTATTTTTCGCTTAAATTATTTTACTATTTTTATTGGAATACTTCACAAGAAGTACTAACTGTGTTTACACACAATATTCTTTTAAGATATAGGATTCTGTTGGGTATAGTCATATGATACACGTGAGGCTGTCATTTATTAACAAGATGTCATATACCACTTACAAAAGAAGTCAAAGAAACACTTTAAATTTAAAATTCGGTTTCGCAACTCATGGTGATCATTTATTGAGAGGCATAATCTTCCTAAAATTACTCTAGTAGAATGCCGAATAAATAAATTTTAATTTTCTAAATACGTCATTTTAGAGACATTGAAACCAGTAATAATTTATTTTTGCTATAATTCACATGATCCAACTTTCTAAACTTTTATAGTTTGTATAGAGACTGCCTTTATACAAATGATTCATGTATTTCTAAAGTATAACCTGGAATACCAACGACTTCTTCCTTTTTTTATTTCAAAAGGATTTGAGACCGTTACTAATGATGTAAAAAACGTGTTTGTTTTGAAATAATGTTTATGGAATTAAATGGTGACAAACAATCACACAGTCCCCCTGACGGTAAGGGTATGCTATGACACAAAGACGCTCACATATTTTCTTTGAGTAAGAACCGATATGCTGATTGTCACCCTTAATAATTAAGATGGGATGCCTTGTTATAAGTTTAACGGATCTCCAGTTCTCACAATATGAAATATCATAGTATTATCCTTCTATTTTTTGCTCATATTCCGTATTCTATTCTGTGCAAGTAATTCCCGTTGCAACTGTAATTCGCTACTGAATAGCTCTACCTTGTACAGACATTGAGTATTTGTAGCTTAGGATAAGAACTTTACAGCGGCAAAACATGTATAGAATATTTTTTTTTGTATTTACGCGAACACTAAACATTCAAATCGAAACCTTGGGAATAAAATAAGTTAATTAAACATTTTGATTTCATTTCATTCAACCAAACTACGCCACGACCAAAGCTTGTTATCGAGTATGCGTTAACCCTCAGGGCGCGACACGTTACTCGATGAAAATTCTTGATATAGATACTCTGTTATTCTTGAGAACACAAACGGAATGTCTCCTTTATTGTGTTTTGATCTGCGGTCCTTGTCAACAGCCACTATATGAAACATAACGTATTATGTTGCTATTTTACGTTGGTATACCACGGTATAGTCTTTTCTGGGGACTATTTACCAGGTAAATTATCAACTGTGTGATGGTGATGTAAGAGAATTTATCACCACATTTAATCAAGTAGTTATCCTAAGATGCGATAGTGGGAAATGTCAGAAAAATGTTATGAATGTCGATAGGTGGACAAGTATAACCATCTCTTTACGCCTGGCGTAAATCACTTTAAAGGTGCGAGACGTCTACAACTGCGATCGTCAATTAACCAGCCAAGCATGATGAATACGGCAAATTCTTCCTACAATGGAAAAGACCCAGGTCCAGCAGTAAATTTTCACAGGTTCCCCACTTTTTACTCTAGAAACATCTGTAAATGTTGTTCTATAGCGCCCTGATCGGATTCGACCATTTGGGGTTTGAGAGGTTAATACGGCTATAAAACATTTTTATTGATACATTCTTCATACAAGTATGAACGTTTCTACGTCTCAGAATTTTCAATAAATTTTTAAAGCAATAATAACGATTTTATGCCATCAGGCTGACGTCACTTTGTAATGAGGTGAAATATCTGACAGAGCCCTCACTGAGCTGAAATTTAGCATACTTTTGTAATTTCGATGACAATGCAATAAAATGAAATTATTTTTTTTATTTCTTTGAAGTAAAAAAATTAAGTTCGTTATCGGAGCTGTTGTGAAAAGACCCGAATATTGACCCCAGCAAACCCATAAAAGCTTGTTTTCTAATATAATATATATTAATTTAAATTTATTCTGGCGACTGTGACGACTCCGTGGCGCAGTAGCTTAGCAATGAGTGGCTACGCTGGGGGTCGCGGGTTCGAATTCCGCACGGAATAAGTATTTGTATGGCCTACAAATAGTTGTTGCGGGTCTGGATGTTTGTCCTTGTGCAATTTATGTTTGTAAACTGCCCCTACGATACAAGAGAAAATCTTAGTGTAGGAGTAACGTTTTAATTGAAGAAAATAAAAAACAAAAATTCTTATTTAAACTAAGTATTAACATTAGCGTCTGCATGTTACAGTTGCGAATTTACATGGACTCCCGGCGAATGGGAAGAGTGCAGTGCAACATGCGGTGACGAAGGCGTTCAAGAGAGACAGTTGTTTTGTATGCCTACGAATGTGAGGTAAGCGATTCTATACTATATACGATAAATTATTTTATATGTTTAATTGCTTTCACGGAAATGGCTCAAAAGTTTTGAATGAAATATTGTAAACATATATAATACTAGCTGGGCAGGTAGACATTGTTTTGCCCTTTCTGACGATCCTTTGTCCTATGAAAATCCTTAAATTCGAGATAAAAAATACTGAAGGTCACTTATTGGGATAAAAAAAGTTCCTAACCATCCTATCTCTCAAGGTGCAGCAAGCAATACACGTTTACAAAATTTCATTAAAATCAGTTTAGGCAAACAATGTGACATTTAATTTTTACATTTAAAGATTTTACTTCAGAAGGTTGCCTAAATACGACCATGTCTGGGAAAATTATATATTTTTTAATATTGAGTGACACTTGGTCGCCAAGGTACTAGTCAAAAGTTGAGTATTTTAATATTTTATGGTAATAAATAATAAAATAATTTAGTAAGCCATTCCATTTGTTAAAATTCAATCTAATATATGCGATCCACTGCGGTACAGCCTTTTTTATTTCTGAGAGGATCTGTTCAACGCGCTGCAATAATGTATTCACATGACTTAGAAAAAATTAACTTTAAAACATTAGTTGATTATTATAACATCCAAAGCGTTGTTACTATGTAACATAGAATAAATATTTTGTTTTCTATAAAATCAATTAATTATTATCATTAAAATTAACCTTTCATTTTATTTACAGTGTATCCTCAAGAAGAGACCTCATAAGGCGGAGCGTGTCACCAGCTCTATGCCCGCCGACCAAACCTGACAGACAGCAGCCATGTAACCGTCTGCCTTGTCCAGTCTACTGGCAAGAGATGCCGTGGACTCCGGTAGTTGTCTTTAAATTACTTACACTGTAGTTGAAATTTATAGAGAAGTACTTCGTCGTAAGAAATATGTTGCCAAACATGTATGTGTAGTAGAGTTCATAGTAACTCCACTACGGAACGTGTTATGCTTGTTGGCTTGACCGAGGAAGGAACACGCTCGCACAAAATACCGGCGTAAAATTAACGGCATAATACTGTGTAATAGTAAAAAGTGCTGTGCTTTGTATGGTGATTAACGACAACCGGAGACCATAGACATAGGAGATTTACGGATCATCTGCACGTTACCTTTTCCTCTTAGCCCACGTCAGTTACAGTCTGTGACTAAATGTGGACTGGTACTGTACACATAGGCGAATACGATGCAGATGTCACAAATAATAGTGTTTAAGTGTTTTATGAAGTACTGGGTCCTAAGCATCAGAAACTTGACATCGGTTGTACTGTATATCCAGTAAATAGGAAAAAAATCTTTTGAATTTTTCATGCAATTATATTGATTGCTTTTAATACCTTACATATCATATTCCGCTCTCCTTTATTGACGTGTGTAATTAATCCAACATAAAGTGATAAAGGCAAAGGCAAATATCATCATACAATCAATTGTCAATTGAAGACATGTGGATTCCGCCAGTAGAATATTAAAATGGACTTTTCTCTAAAAAATAAGTGAAAGCCAGTTTAACGTTTATTTCATCCATCCATGTATCAATTACAGCCTATAAAACTCCACTGCTGAACTCCTGCCGGCCTCCCTCATAGATTTTCTCATGGGAGGATTTTGTCATAGTTGCCACGCTTGGCGAGTGGGTTGACCACCACAGTTTTTTTTTTAATTTTAGTCGTCATTAGAAAGACGCTGCAGCCCATCTACTGATTTGTTTTTTTTTTTTTTTAATTTATTTTATGTACACACAACGAAATTACTATAAGACTGCTTCTGTATCTTAATACAGAAGCAGTCTTATAGTAATTTCGTACAAAGGTTCTACTTATTCCAAATTAGCTGAAATATCTTCCAGTAGACCTAGTTTCCCACTGTCGTCTCTTACGAAACCCACAAGATGATAACTAAGATGAAATGCCTCGTTAACAATACGAAGGCTCTTCGGGTCTTCGGTTCCCGCCACTACTAATATGAAACAACACCATCGCACTACTATTTCACGTTCGTATTCTGTAGGAACGTCATCCTTCCCCGGTCCAGCTGACCCGTTCATGCTGCGATTAAAAATTTCCATTGGGATAAAGTTTAAAATTACAATCTATATACGTCCCACTGCTGGGAACAGGCCTCTCCTCATTTCTGAGAGGGTTTTAGGGCAAGGAAATGTCCGCCGCGCTGCCCCAATGCGTGTTGGCGAACTTCACATGTCTTCGAAATATTTTTTTTCTTATTACTCAGACATGCAGGTTTCCTCACGATGTTTTCCTTCACCGCCGAGCACATGGTAAATCAGCACTTAATTTCATTGGTGCTGGCGGGGATCGAACCCGGGTTACTCGCGTTCTGTTATATTTACAGAGAGCCGTGGTAGCTCAGATGGTTAACGCTCGCTGTAAATATAACTATTGGGATAATAAATAATAATTATGTCCTAATTTTGGTCACGGCGCGGCGGCCAGTCTTAACGGATACGAGCCGCCTGCGCAAAACATGATTATAGTGCCCGAGTGTATGCGCAAGCACAAGTACACTCTTTACCATTCTTTCATTCATCCCTCACTCTGCCATTGTGAAATTGTAGTGTTCGACGACGTGCGGTCGCGGAATATCCCACCGGCCGCTGGTGTGCCCGGCAGCAGACGAAGTGCTATGCGGGCCGAAGCCGCGCGAGCGCCGGCGTCGCTGCCGCACGCGCCACTGTCCCCCCGCGCCCCGCCCCCACCCCACCTGCCCTGACAGCGACGGCACGCAGTACTGCGAGCTGTTCACGCGGGACCAACTCGAGCGGAACTGCATCGTGCCGCCGTTCAGAAAGTACTGCTGCAACGCCTGTCGCAGCGTTGACACCGAACATTTCGACACTGTTAGACATTAGTGCTTTGAAACGAGATGTATTTTATTGTGATTTGTAAGATGTACAAGCCAGTTGGGAATAAATGTGGAAATTTCGGAAAGTGTGAATTGAGTCCTCAAGTGGCGGTCGCTGTATGTTCTGGTATTAAAGATTAGCGCGGTTAATGTAATCTGTTGTAGTTGTAGTTGTGAAAATTCAATTACCTATTTTATAACTTTTATACCTTATGGAAGCATTTGTATCCCTATAATGTTCGTCATCTGTTAAAGATCCAGATGAATTTTTGTTATTTGATTTCATGACAAATTTGACGATGACGAGACAATTTTCGTGACGTATTAAGACGAATATTTCGCGTAAGCAGATTTCAAAAACTCTATGCTTTCTGCTTCCTACCAGTTATTTATTACATACTAAAAGTCGTCTATTATTTTTCTTCGTACAAATAAGAAGATGATAAGAGAATTTCTAACTTGAGGTCCTACTCTCGTATTCATAGTAGGTACCTATCGTGTTTTGTCCTTGAATTAACTTTTGGATACAATTTAAATGGCGCTAATTTATAAATGAACAAGAATAACACAACCTTAGGTTTATTGTGTTTTAAGTAAGTATTAAATTTTAATCATATTAATACTAGTATACTTCTTGTACGTTTAACACGTAAAACACCGTACAAATTAAAGACCTGACTAATGCAAGGAACTAAGTCTCGACAGAGAAATTTGTAATTTTTTGAAATATGGTATAGAGGAGGCTTTAAAACTAATGTATTTGAAAGGTTAAAATCGATGTAACCAGTATTTCGTTATCTGTTATCTTTTATAAATATTTATATAAGTAGTTTTTAAGGTCTTTGATATGATATAATAGACAATTAGTTTCGGAACGAAGTGCCATAATGTAATGTACACGACTTCCACTTTTAAATAAATATTTTATTGAGGAAATAATAATTATTTTCATTTATACCTCTCTAAAATATAAAAAATTAAACTTCGAATAAATAGAAATATAACCAGAGTGAACACGAACGGGAAAGGACCAAGCCCGCACAGTACTATCGTGAAATATCAACATGATGGTACTGTATTTTGTATGGTAAATGACGAGAGCCGGAGATCCATTTTATTGATAACGGGGGGGGGGGGATAACACACATACACATACACATACACATACACATACACACATACACACACACATACATACACATACACACACACATACACATACACATACACACATACACACACACACATACACACATTACCACATATACATACACATAACACATACACATGCACATACACATACACATACACATACACACATACACATACACATACACATACACAATACACACGCACGCACGCACGCTCGCACGCACGCACGGACGGACGCACGCACGCACGCACGCACGCACGCACGCACGCACACACGCACGCACGACACGCACGCACCACGCGCCGCGCCGCCACGCACGCCCCGCCCCCGGCACGCACTCACGCACGCACGCACGCCACGCACGCACGCACGCACGCACGCACGCACGCACGCACGCACGCACGCGACGCACGCACGCACGCACGCACGCACGCACGCACGCACGCACGCACGCACGCACGCACGCACGCACGCACGCACGCACGCACGCACGCACGCACGCACGCACGCACGCACGCACGCACGCACGCACGCACGCACGCACGCACGCACGCACGCGCACGCACGCACGCACGCACGCACGCACGCACGCACGCACGCACGCACGCACGCACGCACGCACGCACGCACGCAAGCACGCACGCACGCACGCACGCACGCACGCACGCACAGATGTAGATGTCTATGGGCCACAGCAACCACTTACCATCCGGTGGACTGTGTGGTCATTTGTCACCCTATCCTATAAAAAAGTCATGGATTTTTTAATTTTATATACGAAACGGGCATGCGTTAAGCGCAGTTTTACTTCATCTTCACCTCCCTCTGCAGCATTTTACGACATCAACGGTAAGACATGAGGTAATGACTTCTCTTACGTTAATAGGATTCTATTTTACTCTATTTTAAAATATTTTGAAGTAGCGTATATATGTATATATAAAAAAGGAATTGATGTTTGGGTAAATCTTACACACATGGATCTATAACGACGTGCATCCAGATTAGTGATTAAGACATGATCGTCCGAAACCCGAACCCAATCTGATCCAACCATAAACTTTTTTCTCTTTTTTCTGTGGCCCTTACCATTTCTTCGTATAGGCAAAGAAAAATAAACTAACTGAAAATAAATATTGAGCTAATTACGCAAATAAAACTATTTAGTGTAGAAAAGGTCGGCTTGTCTCAGTTAGCTAATGCAGACTAGGTCATGCTCTTCTAATGAGTGGTCGATTTACTGCCATCAGAGCCAATCACCAGGCCAGCTCGAGCATAGTATTCCACGCGGGCTAACCGCACATTCCCATATCGAGTGTGGGAGAGATTGGACGATCTAAGTAGTCGACATAGCATTTCCTTTTATGTACATACTTGTAATAGCAGCTATAAACAAATATTTATGTTTTAAATTTTATACTAAACAACTAAATATAGCACACTTTGCATTTATCATAATATAATATTACATATTCCCATATTGTCATCCGATCCAGAGCTACTCGTTGTTCAAATTTCAATATTGAGCTGAGAGGGTTATCGCGAAGTGCTTGAAATTTGAGTTGCAAAATTCCAACCGGAACGGTAGACAGAGTGACATCCAATAAAGTGACTTATGAAAAACGTGGAAAAATATGAAAAAAATTTGGTATTATTATGAAAGAGCTTTAAATTAATTGACTCTAGTCTAGCAGGATTGTAATAATTGTAAATATTCTGCTCTTCTCACTTTAGCCGCCATTACGTTAAATCAGTTTCACATGAATTCGCATTGATAGTGGTTATTAATTAACATTGATGAGCTCGTTTGTGAATCTTATAAAATCGTGATAATGAATGTTGTAACAAATTTTTTTAATTAAGTAATAGAAGGAATAAAAAGATTCATTAAATTAAAAAATCAAAGATATTAGAAAATTAATTATAACGAGAATATTTATATTTAGTTTACTTGCAGTAGCTAGAAGCTAGTCTCAGGATAGAAGTGGGGTCTGAGATTTGAATTTGAATATAGTACTATGACCACTGGTTCCAAGAAAACCTCTGTCCAGGGAAGAACCAGCCAGAAACCCATCGGGACATTTCCTTTAAATAGAATTAATTTATAATATAACACTTCATACAACCATGAAATACACATATCACAGATAATCAACTATAAATTAATCTGAGACTAATTTGTTAGCTGAGAATAATAATTAATTCGTGGAAACGAATTAATTATCCCAAGTATCAAGGTTGAGCAAGTAGCGGAGTACAACAAGTGCACCGAGCCACGCCAGAGCCAAGACTGCTCTAACCGTGGCCACTCCGTCTGTTTATATCTATATATCTATATATATATATATATATATATATATATATATATATATGTATGTATATAAATGCACAAATATATTAAATATAAAAATAATACAAAATCCTTTTTATTTTGTTATTAATTTGGGATAAAGCATCGTGAAAAGTATTATAAGTATTTTTCTATATTATATGCTTTTAAAAAGCGCGCTTTCTTTATACATTGTGCTCCTGATTAATATCCTTTTATTGCAAGTTTAAGTGAATCTGTAATAAAATGCCTCGAAGCAGTACAAATTTATAGGCCATTATTAAAATGTTACAAACCCGATAAGCTACACATTTAAAGCTGAAACGCAGTTTAAACATAATTTAAAAGAGTGAGGTTTTAATGTATATAATATGAAACGTTAAACTAATATTAATGTATTGAAAAGCATCCATTCTAATAAAATTACAAAAATTATAAGCGGCTTATGCTAGAAGCGTTTCTGTCAACTTTCATCCCTCCTCAAATGCTCTTCTGGGACCTTAAAGCCTTTAAGTAATATGCGGGGAGGTTTTAAGGCAGGCTAAACTACGGCTAAACCATGATAGATTCAAACAATGGCCCTGAAGAATCACTTCATTTTTTTCATTAGGATTATTATTATTATTGCGTTATTTTTATGTTAATTGGTATAAATATGAACGTTAAATTAAAAAATTATAACTCTAACGAGTATATATCATAGACTAGAGTAATATATACAGAAACCCTGTATTCAATATCAAATCGCAGGTATATTTAAAAAAAAAAGATTTCTTAATATTTTTACTATAGACGGAGGTTCTATTATTTCATATATAAAAATTAAATAAGTAACAGCCTATTTACTCACATTGCTGGGCAGAAGCCTCCCTTTATTTCATAAATAGGATTAAGGATCGGTTAAACGGCCGAGTTGCTCCGGACTAAATTCAACTATGCACAAAATATTTTTATCTCCAATTCTTCATTACAGAAGAATTTTTCACGATTAGTTCCTTCACAGCTGATATAAACATGGTATATCAATAAATATTATTGGTACGGCTGTCAGTCTGTGCGCCTTATTTGTCTTCACGTTTCAGAAAAATATACGCAAGGAAATGAAATAAATCTTTCTGTGTAAGTTTACATCAGACTTATAGACATTTGAAAGATAAAAATAAAAACGCTCATGAGACGTGCACTTTTGTATTTTCCAAATTTCAGTTACAAGTTAATTAGTGAATGGCGTACCAAAAAAGATCAGATTTTAACAACTTTAGACTTTGACTTTGAGAACCGAAAGACCGCGGCGATCAAACACGGGCAATTTATATTTTAAACTAGGGACTCGCCCTGGTTTTGCCAAAGGAGGATCTGTTTAGGTAGTGTTATTTAGTTTTAAGATAGTCAAACACCAATTATTTTATCAATGTTTCGGTTTTTTTTAACAAGACTTCAAGTTTTTAAAATAAAATATAACCTATAACAATCCTGGTGTAGTTCTTTATCTGATCGTGAAGTTTCACTACAAACCATTCAGCCA